GTCATCGATCGCAATTTGTCGATTTTGTATTCTTTTTAAGCTCCATTTTTTCCACGTTTACCGCATTATAATATATTTCGTGTGAAAAGAAACAGGTTTTTTTTGTTATATCGTTTGTTAATCTTAATTATGAAAAAAGGTTATGAATAATACTGTATGAGTAATACTTTAACCTTTTTTCGAAGATTCAAGTTTGACGAATGATCGTTTGGTGAGATCGTTGCATCCGGGTAGCGGAACGTTATAATTTGCGGCAGCTTATCTCGCGCGTGATCGATATCGATATCGAATTAAGTACTGTATACTTTCGATGGGAATTATTATGTTCGTGCGACATGAAAATGGAGAACGATGTCGATGGCGAACGATCGTGAATTTATCTTAATTTCGCGCCATTTGTAATCGCGGCGCAAGGTAAACATCTCGCCGGGCGTCGAGTGACTCGAGTCCTTGCAAAGTGACCTTAAACATGTAATTTAATAAAAAAAACAAAAAAAGAGAAAAATAAAAATAAATTACACAGACGATAAAAATATATACGAAATTGAAACGAAAATTAATATCGAGTGTCAAATATTAAATATATGACGAAACGAAACGAGCTTGTAAGACGTGCGTGAAAAAGAAGGGCGCGTAATATAAGCGGCAATAAAACATCAGTCAAAAATATGCGGCTGTTTTTAATTTATCGTTTACCAGAAGAGAGAATGATTCGACCAATCCCACCGATATCGCGCAAAATCTCCTTGGTATTGATTAAAATGACGTCGGTTCCGGGCTCAGCGAGGCCATCCGAGGAGCAATAACCGCGGGTGATCCGCGGCACGGAAGCCCGCACCGAAAATCGCATTCCCATCTTATCTGGGCACGCGCGAGATAAGAGAGTCATCCGCGCTGGGCCGCGGCATCCCGGCGTCCCTGTGTATTGAATAAACATGGAATTTCGGTGATTTTACGAGGACAATCCTCTATCCCCGCCTGGCGGCAATATCTCCAGCGAGAATCGCGGCGATTCCGCGCCGCGTGTATGCATGCTAATGGCCAGAATTGAATAAAAGATCGTGAATTATGATTGACCCCGAGCTATACCAGAATTCTCCCCTCGTCCGGTTTATCTGGATCTCGCGCGAAACGAGATGGAAGTAAATGCGCGATCGCGATCGTATGAGGAATCGACTCTGTGATCGCAATATCCCAATATTGACTATGTTCGCATAAGGGTAAAAGAGGATAAAAGGATAAAAGGGTTGTAAAAGATACCGCGTATGTGTACGTATCTTACTTCGTCGGTGCGATCCCAATGCGAGCATAAAATTGAATGGAACATCATATGCAAGATTATGTGCGAACAAAAGAAAGTTTTTAATATCCTACGTTTTCTTTCATAATCTATGAGAATTAAGACGTTATAATTTATTATTACGAATTTATTATCAAGTTCCAGACAGTATAACGTTTTTGTGCAAAATATACACGAACTGGAGTGCCAAAACTGTCAACATACGTAAAATGCAAGATCGAGAAATAAGAGTCATTCACGTCGCATTTTATTTCGATCAGCGTTCAAAGAGCCGATCAATTAAGAGCTATCAATGGCAAGATCTATCAATGGGTAATAGGCGCTGTTTTTGCGAATCGGCTCAAGATCGTTCGTCGTTGAAGTGGCCAGAGGCAGTGAAAAATCGCGGGGTTGGGCATTAATCAGCATAATTAGATGCTATTTGTCCGCAGGCCGTTGCCAATCTCGCTCATTATTGATAATCTATAATCCGTAATAAGCACCCTGGCGCAATGGCAGGTTGAAGAATCGTCGTGAACGATAATACCTTTATCGTGTCAATGCCGGTCCCAATCACCGCGCTCACTTGCGCCAAATTTCATAATGAAATAAAGCGACGATAATTAATAATCCCGATCGAACGCGGCGATTATTTAGAGTAACACGCGATTCCGGCGTTGCGAGATGAGAGAAGCGAATAATGCCAGACAGCGAAACATGAGTATCGATAATATCAGCGATTATTTTTTCTTCTTTTGTTTTGGAAACTTGATTCTTGACTTTGTTTACAAAACCGCATAATAGCGTATCGCGTATTCATAATTTCGGACGTTTCTCGTTGCGTCAAGTTACGTATAATTACGTGGAAAAAGGAGAGACCGGCTTACGTAGAAGGAGAGAATGAGAGAGAAGTCACATCGCGTCACGCTCATATCACGAAATTAGTCGACTCATTATCATCGTGTCAGGTTCATTATGCGTCAAGTGCATTATGCCGAGAGACAGCCGCTTCCCTCCCTCGTTAAGAAGGAAATGCACAATTCTGCTGCGAGGCAAACGCAAACGAAAATAGATTAAGACGATGGATCCGGACGCGATCAAACCGGACGTGAAAATTGTTTAACTCGTTCCCTCATAAATTATTTAGCGCACCGCCCGCTATCATCTATCAAGTTTGATAACTGCGCCCGATAATAATCTCCTGTGCCCGGCTGGTCGAAACTACAAGCGGCCTCGAGTGCAGCCGCGTAAATACATATACATATCGACCGAATCGTGCGAACGTCAAGAGCGAAAAAGAAAACGTGCGAGCTATCCACGTGATTGCGCCGAGGCCGATTTACAACATTCGTCGTGCGATAAAAAAAATCAATCTATGCTATTTAATTCGGAGGTTACATATGTATAAGCTAACAATTGCGCTACACACGCGATACAATACAATTACGCTATCTCGTAAAACGCTTCTCATAAAAGTTAACGACAAATCAAGTTAAGATATTAAATAGAATTACGCATATAATTCTAAAGATCTGTAAAATTGCTTATTATTGTTGATTAAACAACTTTTTGAGGAAATTATTATTTGCATCAATCACGTGCCGCTTAAATTACTTTTAATAAACTTGAAATCAATCTTCTAAAATAAAAAATAATTTATAAAAGATTATTGATTATTTTAAGATTTTGCATTTAATATCTTAATTTTTAATATTATTATGATGGGAAAAAATTTGATCTTTTAGATCTAGAAATCTAAAATAAATAAATTAAAAAGTAAATTAAAATACATCGAAAATTTTATTCTTCGTTTAAATTCCTGCTTTTCGTAAAAATCTTTTTTCCTTTATTTCTTCATAAAAATGCAAATCATGAATATCTTTGTGCAGATCGCTATACATAATAACGATAAAAAGATTCCATGTTGTCACCATGTTTTTCTGCTTTCTCAGTAATGTCAATTATATTTGAAATTTAGGTCAGATCTCAAAACCTTGTATGTTCTCTTAGAATATTTTGTTCTTTTAAAACTGATTTTTTAAATTTAATTTTTATTATATTTCATATTATTCTTTTTCGTTATATTTTACATGATTATCTTAATACAATATAATATAACTTACTTCATATCAGTGCAATCAGTATTCTTTAAATTCCGTCATATTTATGTATGTATATATTTGATCTGCATTCTCTATTTCTCTTATTGTTATAATGTGTGCAAATATAATTTATCATTTCTACATTTTGTCTAAGAAAAAAATATTAAAAAGAATTAGTAAAAATTAGTAAGAAAGTTATATTTGATCATTACAAAATCGATATCTTATAATAATTAAATTTATCTAGTTTCAGCTCGACAGTTCACTATTAGCATAAATTAAACTCAATGCTATTCATAATCAGAGTATAAATAGTAATTAAAAAATTCTATCTCACAGCGCAAATTTAATTTTTTCAAACTAAACATTAATTTTAAGTTTCTCAAATTATTAAACAAGCGATTTATATCACTGTTGTATCGATCTTTTTAAAATTGTTAAATTTGAACGTATTGAAATATCAGATGTTTAAAATCAAAGTAATAAAAATCACGTATTCTTTTTGAGAATTAATTATTCGCTTAATGAAGAAATAATTCCGCAAGAAGTGTATTCGTTTAGCCTAACATGCTTGATATTTCTCACATTTAGGCTTTTTTCTCACATATTAGGCTAGTCTTTCATTATTAAATGCAATAAATACGTT